TCCACGTCTGGCTCAATGTGCTGGCGGAGCTGACTCGCTTCGGAGACAGGGAGTTCTACAAGGCGAGGGGGCGGAGGAGGAGGGGGAGGGGAAGGAGGGAAATTGTATGCCAAGGAGGAAGAGGAGGAGGAAGGGGGATGAAACTGCCCACGCAAAAGCTCATGGCTGCTGAGGAGGAGAGTAATGGAGGCGGAGGGGCGGACTGGGGGCCACGATCCAGATCTGGGTTCTGGGGGGGGAGGAGGGGAGGATGAGGAATGGCGTGCAGGTACCCGGAGCCGTCAGGAGGCGGCCCTGAGGGGGGGGGAGGCCCTGAAGGGGCCGAGAGACCTTCCTCTGGCTGGTCTCTGTTGCTTCTTGCGCCCGGGTGTGCTTAGTGCTTGCGCCACCTTGCGCCACACGACGCCTTTCTTATCCATATCCCCACCACAACCACCGCAACCGCCACAGCCACCACAACCACCGTAACCACCACAACCACTACCAGGATTGGTGGAATGCCGCTACGGTAGGCGAGTACTGGAAGCTGTGGAACATGCCCGTTCACAAGTGGTTGCTGCGGCACGTGTACTTCCCCGCCATCCGCGCCGGGACCTCCCGCTTCAACGCCATCCTGCTGACCTTCTTCGTGTCGGCTGTGTTCCATGAGCTCATCCTGGGGGTGCCGCTGCACTTGGTGCGGCTGTGGGCCTTTGGCGGCATCATGTTCCAAGTGAGCTGGTCCAGGGGGAAGGGGGACAAAACTAGAGCTCTTGTGTAGATATGGGGCGTCGGTGGCTAACCCCCGTGGTTTTGGGTGTTAGGAAGGTTGTAGCGGGTGCGGGGATTTCGGGTATTGGGGGGGGAAAGGGCTTTAGGAAAGGCAAGCGGGTGGAGGGGCTTTTGATGGGAGGGTGTGCCAGGAGCGTGTTGCCTTTTGCCTTGCGTCGGCTTTGTGGGGGGTGTGGTGAACAGGACGGAACGATGAGGATTGTGGCAGCGATTGCAACCGTTCCCCTCTCGCCCCCCTGTTCCCCGTGAGCCTGACACCAACACTATTCCTGACTTTGTTCCCCCCGCGGCCTCCCCGAAGCGTTCTTTCCTTCCTCCCCGCGCCGTGTGCAGGTGCCCCTCATCCTGGCCACCGAGACCTTGAGAAAGCAACTGAGGCGGGATGAACTGGGTGAGAGCGCGCGTGTGTGTGCATATGTCTGTGCGTATGTCTGTGCGTATGTTTGGAGATGTGCGATGTGCTACCGGAGAGCGGAAGCGAACTGCGAATAATGCCGAACAACAGAGTTGTGTTGTGTTGTGTTGTGTAGACATGCGGTCGGTTGACGGTTGGTTGTCATTGTTCGAGCCGGCGCAAGATGGAATACTAGCGGACTGGGAGGAGCAGGAGGCTGCTGGATGCCGCGGTTTTGCTAACGTTCTGTATTTTGCCTTTGAACCCTGCTACCCTTTTACCATCCTTGCTTCTTTGCCGCCGCAACCGTCGACGCCATAACCACCATCGTGGTCGCCAACCTACTTTCCGGACAGGCAACTACATCTTCTGGATTGCGTTCTGCGTCGTCGGTCAGCCCGTGTCCGTACTGCTGTACTACCATGATTACGTGGTGGGCATAAGGCCCGCGTTGCTGGCTCTGCGAGCTGCCGCAGCCGGCGGCGGCGGCGCAGCCGCGGTGGCTGCATCAGCCGCTTCCGCGGGCTTCGACCCGCTTTTGCCGAACGTGTCGGGGGCCTTAGCAGCCGCTGGCAATGCGACCCTGGGAATAGCGGCTTCCGGGACGGGCAGTATATTGTAGCTCAGGAGCGGGAACGGCGGCGATGGCAGCGGTGTTGTTAGCGCTGGCAGGAGCGGCGGTGTCCATGGCAAACGAAGCTTCGGGAGGAGAGATTGACTTATTCTCACGGTGAACGACAGACTGTGGATGGGAAGGTTTGAAACGGCGATAACCTAATGGATGGCGAATGGACACCGTAGCGGAATGGGAAGGACATTTTCTAAGCGTCGAATGTGTGCGAAGACAGCGGTGACATGGAGAGAGCACGGAGGAGGAGGAGGAGGGGATGGGGGGGCCGGGCAGGCTGACATTGTTTGCCGGTGGGGCTGCAGCGGCAGGTGGTGGTGGTGATGGTGGTGGTGATGGTGTGGTGATGGTGGTGGTGATGGTGGTGGTGGTGATGGTGATGGCGGTGTTCCACCAGCGCGCAGGTGTGCAACGGTATAGGGGGAAGCATAACGCCCCGCGCATGAGAGCAGAAGATTTTTGTTGATGCATACGCCTCAGGAGGGGGTGAGGAGGCCGGCCATCCTAAGGCAGCACGGATGGTCGGTTGGGTAGTTAGGTGGTTGCTGTGGTTGTTGGACAACAGGGGTCAGCGAAGCTACTATTATACCAGGGGATGAAGGTCTCCTCCCCGTCTTCAGTGATGTCATGACAGTCCTCCGTAGTTGAGTACTTGGCGGCAAATGGCACACAACATATCTTGCGGCCACCGTCGCGTGCAGGGCACAAGCATAGACTCAATAGATGTCACAGTATAATTTTTGTGCAGGTTTGGATTTGATGTGCATCTAGATTGTCCGCAAAAGCTTGGGTGAAGAGTGACAAGGAGGTGATGGTGGAGGAGCCGATATGGCTCTCGTCATGAAGCAAAAGGGGATGGTTATCGTACCGAAGATGTGTACATAATTATATATCTGTTTTCCGTCAGGTAAGGCAGGCAGGTAAGGCTGGGTGCTGCAGCCGGCTCATGGGATCAAAGAGCGGCGCTTGCAATGGAGGACACACAAATCAGAGAGGAGGTACGGCAAAGGAGGTGCGTCCAGGATTTCTCTCTGTGGCCGGACGCTTTGCAATGTGGGGAATCGGTCGCGGTGGAGAAGCCTCTCCAATGGCGTGGACGATTCTTGGAGCATTCCTATTTTTGTTTTGCCGTCTGACGTACTAAGCGACGAAGTACTACGGCAGCGCTCAGGATTTGAGGAGTGATGTAGCTGTGGCCAGGCAGCTGTTGCACGTGCCGTACGAGCGCCAGGTTCAGCTATGTGGCTTGAGAGTATAGTGCAGTTAAGGAAAAGAGATGTTTTTGAGGATGTAGCCGGAGGATTCGAGGTTCGATGGTGGCGGCGGAGCTGCGGCCTTCTTCGCCGTCGCGTTGCTTTGTGATCGCCGTCGTATTGCTTCCCCTGCATCCCATCTCTGATGTTTGTAGTGCCCTGCGGCACGATGCACGTGATGAATTTGGTTGTATGCGTGTGCATGAAAAAGCGATCATGCTGCTTTGTGAGCAGGATACATAACGTCGGGAAAAATAGCGTAACCGGCAATATCTGTTGGAATTGGAGATGTATGGATAATATGTCGAGTGATCTAGCAGTCTTCCATCGTCATTAGCTAATAGCGAATGCACGATGAGATGAAGGTATCCAATGATACCTACAGGTACCTTTACAATGCTATCGACAACAGAAAACGAAATACATGGCAAACAACAAGTTTACGAGGAACGACAAGGGCACGTGATTAAGTGTGAGCTATACAAAAGTGTGTATGCGGGATTGTTTGTACGGCAAGCCAATACATTGCAACGCGCCTACCCGACAACACAAGGCTAGTAGCACGACAAGATGATCGTACCTACTTCGTCAACTACACTACATACACAAGATCTGTTCTTGAGCCTCCATACTTAAGAGTTCAGCCAACCCTGTAAGCATCGCGTAGTGATTCACCGTGACACTGTGAGATGCCGGGTACAGATTAGCAACAAGCAAACAAGCGACATAGACATCCTCCTCCTCTCCTTCAATCAAATTCCAGCAAGGGTAAAAGAAATCGACCGACCTGTGTGAGAGTATCCGCTCCACCGGCTCCATCCCTCTCTACCCTTTCACATACTTGGAGTAAGTAAGGCGGGCCCCAGGGCCCCAGGGCGTCTGCCCCAGTTGTCCCGCGGCAGCAGCCGCGGTGTACCTACAGCCAGCTTGCTCTTCACAGCTATAGCCGCCATTCGGAAACGTAGCCACGGTTGCAGGAGGCGCACCGGTCCGACCCCCTCTCCCCACCACACACACAAAGCAGCCGAACGGCGCATTGGACAGCCTGCAGTGGGCCGCCTCTATCCGGTCCTCGCGCACTCCCGAAGAGATGTACAGCTGAGCGCGCCCTGGGCCCCACACTACCATGCACACCCACCCACCAACAAATCGGCCACAGCGAAGCTTCCTTCAATCCAGCGCGTAGCACAGTGCAATGCATAAAACAACAGCAGGTCAAGCAGCAGCCGCAGCAGTATAACTCGAAATGGCGCCAAAAAACATCGGGGCCCAGACCGCCATAACCACCACCCCATCCACAACGCCCTCGCAATAACCTCGGTTCCAGTGATACACATACATACACACATACACACGCACACGTGCGCGTACAAGTACAACCACCCCTCGAGACCGAGCCCCCTTACGAATGTCATGAATTGCCCCCACATACCCGACTCTTTCTAGAGAGCAGAGGCAACAAAGCTCCCACAAGGCCAGCACAAGGAGCCATGAACCCCATCCCAACGGATCTCCCGCAACGGGGTGAGCTGCCAGGGCGATCAGCCGTCCCCGTAACAAGACCATTTCCACGTAATGCAGGGCCAATAGTAAATATACACGAGGCCTCGCTAGGAGCTGCAAATTCCCACCTCTAGCGGGTATGGATCCATATCCATGGGGAGATGGGTGCAAAAGACCACGCAAACGTACGATGAAAAGATAATGCCGTAGCAATGGACGACACAGGCGCGGAAAGTCTGGAGATGGTCGCACCAGCATGTTAGTCGCCCCGCCCGCCTCCGACCTTCATGGCTCTTCATATCTCCCTTACCATCTGCGGTGCCCATGCGGTTGCACACGAGAGGTCGCAGGGCAGCCCACGAATGCCGCCGGGTCGCCGTGCAATATAATATACAGTGACGTCATGCAACTTCGGGAGGAGCTATGTCTGTCCATCTACCTCCACTCCACCTCAAGGCTCAATGCATGACTCCCCCGAACGAGATATGGCGGAGCCCGGCACACGCCAAGACAAATGATAACGAGGCAAGCAGGGAACAAGGCAAGCAACCGAAGGCAAGCAACCTAAACCCACCATCACAGCAGCGGTGGCATGTGTCCGGAGGACCAACTGCCTCCGGGTTGGCAATTAATTAACGCAAAGGACGCGGTCAGATGTGAAAACGTCTCACTGTCGCGCTGTTGCAAATGCCGCCAACACACAAACAGCAGCTAGTCAGCACGAAACACAGCTATGCAATTACGATAAATTGCGTTGCGAAGCGCGCAGCATTCCCCCCACTGCAGCCAGCCAGGCGCAAGCTTTCCTTGCCTTCCTTGCGACACACAACACACAACCGAGCCTCCCACCTCACAAGCAACCCCCTACAAGGCCTCTGCATAAACACAACACAAAAAGCCTCACCAGGACGTTTTGCTGTGTACCCTCTATCCCCCATTCCTCAGCCCCCCACTACAGCGTTGCCGCAATACCCGAAACATCCAGATCCCCCCCCGTGGAACACAAAACAATATGTCTTTGTCCTCCTCCCATGCCTGCCTTCACCTGACACGTTCTTCCAATCAATGCCCCGCCGTACGCACGCATGCACACATGCGTGAGAACTTTTGGGTTGCCACCCGCCGTTTACAACGTACAATGTGACAATGTGACCACGAAGCAGCAGCAACAGCCGCAGCCTCCGTCGGCCTACCGCCCGGCTTCCAGCGGCAACACTGTCGCCACCAACCACATCCATATCTCTCCCATGGGGCGTCTTCCCCGTCTTTTGACACACACTCCTGTACAGATCCGTCCCACTGTACAGATCCGTCGGGGGGAAACGGAGGTCCATCTTCCGTGCTGGTTTTGTGGGGCTGTGCGATTCACTCCTGCCGAAGAAAGAGAGAAGCCCACCCGTCTACCATCTTTCCGCTTGATACGTTTTACACTCCCGATATGCATCTTTAGCGGGTGACAAGTAGGGGAGAGTCACAAAGCTCCATAGGGCGGTTGTGTGCGGTCATGGTTCATGGCAGCAGGTCCGTGTCGGAGGGCAGCCAAGTGGCTCGGAAGCCAGTGCCCCTGCAGCGGTCACATTGAAGGTAGCCCTGCGCGGAAGGGGGAGGGGAGGGTGCGCGAGCGCAAGCGTAATTCTCAGTGAATCGGAGGTGACCCGGGGGTTGTTGGACATACAGCGACCCCCGTCGCACACGTGCACACACAGGAGTGCGACGTAGTGGGGCAGATGACCGCGGAAAAGACGACACAGAAGCAGCCCAATAACACCAGATAGCATGGACTGCGCATGGAACACAGGAAGGTCTCAATCAAAGCGGCGCCCTCGGGAGGTGCCCCATGCGGTGGCGGCTTCCGGGAGGTGAGCAGAAGGGCAACACGGCGGGCAAGACGAGGTCAAAGAGTCGTTGACCATAGCTCCATACAAAGCATGCACACGCGCACACAGGCGGCACTTCCCAACGGGGTACGAACCGCATGAACGGCATATGCGTTGGTTGTCACAGGCGCACCTTTCCTTTGCAGACCGGGCAGTTGTTGGTGTGAGTCGGCGTGCTTGGAAACACTTGGCTGCCCACCATGAGGTAGCCTGAAAGCCAGAAGTGGAGGAAGGGGTAAGGATTGTATGGTGATGATGATGATGATGATGATGATGATGATGATGATGATAATAAAATGCAGAATGAGCTGCTGACACCAAAAACACCTACCACAGCACGACCAAGCCGGGGTGAGAAAAAGAGTGGAGGGGAGCCCAGCAGGTGCTGCCAACAGCTGGGGCAAGGACCTGTGCCACCTATGGCCCGTGGGTCTCCCTCCCGTTCACAGCTCTGCCCCGCTGGCCCTCAGGTCTGCAGCGACACCCGGGTCTGCACAAGGCCCACTGGGCCCTTGTCGCCACTAGCACCAGGTGCGAGAGGATAGCTGCTCACCCGTCCTAACCTTACCCATCTCGACCCGTCAACAACCCGATTGCACCCGTCGCGGCTTAGACTCCACCTCTACCGGCACCTGCACCGACCCGACACAGCACGTGTACTGTACAATCCACAGTGGGTCGCGCTCACCTGTCCCATGGCACCAGTGGCACTCCGCCTCCTTGCGCCCCTTGCAGCAGTCGCAGGTCGTAGGCCTCCCGGGCTGTGTAGTCGGTTGATCGGTTTGTCAAACGGGACGCAGCAGCAAGTGGCGTCACAGGCCCGAGTGGGTGGGTGAATGGCGGAGCTAACGAGCCGTACTTAAAGGAAGCAACGCAGGGCGGCGGCATGGTGTGCCCAACAGTGCACCAGAGGGGCGTCCTTGAGAATGAAAACAGTGGCTTCCCCATGTGGCTCTCCCTTACCCAACATTCACTCAGGGGTTTATACGTGTCCAGCGCGCCTCTTATCGCCACGTCCTCCCCTATCAGTGAGAATGCATCCCCTCGATGTTTTTGACGCAGTACTAAGGGAGACGCGTCGACGCCTTCTTCCTTACCCTGTTGATTTTCCACGCCAGCTCAAAGTGCTGCGCCAGCTTCTTGAGGCGCTGTGGGTCGGCCACTGTTTGCAATTCATTTGCCAAGTCACCATCCAGCTCATCCTCGCCTAAGGGTAGAACAGCGTTGACGAAGCCGATACAGGCGGGTTGGCAAAAGCAGAATTGTGTCGGCCAGAGAAGGCTGAGGATTGCCGTAAGCGAAACCGAAAGCTATGCAATCAATTGCGTCATCAGCACAAAGAAGCAGTGCACAGCCAAAACCTAGCTGTTGGCCCGACAATCCCATGTGCGAAGAGCGTTATGACGTCACCCTAGCCGCTTACTGTCCAACCCGAGACGTGAAAACGTGCTCTTACACTCAGCCTATGCCCTGAGGGTAGCAGCAACCAACGACGATTTAAGTCCCGGCACCACAGTTGCCTGTTAAGCACCGGAAGCTGCATATGAGCGATGACAGCAAACCAGCAACTGATGCGGATTATAAGCACCTATAAGCGTCTGTGTCCTCTAGTCAAAACCTGACGGCCCGGAGGGGCCCAGACAATGACTAGGTCCACCATCTCCCGCATGTGCCTTAAATCAGATGGCCTGGCGTCTGTTTGCTAAATCACTGACTTACTATCAAAGCTTTGGCGAAGGGTGTCCTTGCTCTTGGCACGTTGGCAAATTGCTCTCGGTTTCGAGGGGCATGCCAACACTGCAGCTCTGCAAGAGACCAAGCCAGCTGCAAGATGCCCGCCTGTAAGCATGCCACATGGCCTTGCCGTATGAAGCCGAACAGACGCACACATGGCTAGGTATGACGTTGGAGGGAAACGTTGAACCAGTGACCCTATATCATCAACTATATATATGAGCAACTACCAAACATTGACCAAAACGGTACTGTCAAGAGAATACTATGTTCCGGAAGGGGTCGACTGGCAAGGACAGTATTCGGATATTCGGATATTCTGGGACATGTATTTAGCGTATTAACAAAATTACCCCTGCCTATGCATTGAGTTGTTTAGCATCTTTCCGCGTCGGAATCCCGCTGCAGGATCCAAACGTGCCGTACCTCGTGTTGCACTCGTCGTTGGACCTCTGCCTTCTCTGCATCCACATCAAATCGGAAGGCTTCTTTTTGAGGAAACTGCGTGAAGGGTTTCGGTCGGACTTGACAGCTACTTACCGATGCGACGCGTGCCCATTACCAAACCGTTTGGAACTGGGCTAGCCGTTAAGGCAGCACGATTTCCGCTATGTCACCCAGCTAGTATGGCGGTTAGAGCCAGCGCCGCTGCATCTTTTCAGGTGGCCTTGCCTAGCCTCATTGACTCAACGTCAGTCTCTTCTCTCAACCAAAGCCCCCTTACAAATGTTGTTAGCAGGGGTGCTATCAGCCTCTCGCTCAGCAGATCAAGATCGTGGGTATGGGCAGCTGCGGCGTGGACTACCTGGCTTCGGTGGCATCTTTCCCCCGGCCTGACGAGAAGCTGCGAACAGAGAAGCTTGAGGTCTGTGGTGCCACCACGAAAAACTATCTTAGGGTGCCTAACCTAAACAGCTTGGCGCATTCTGGTTGAAATTAAAGTGGGTCGTAAGGCACAGCAGGACAGCAAAACAGCTCGCTATTGACCACATCGCACACCACGACAAGCCCCTCTTATTATATTCGGCTCCCGTTTTCTTTCCGAAGCTTTCCAACCCCCGCATCGCGCGCTCCCCATCTGCATTTTCTCCCATAAAAAAATTCATTCTTGCTCTGGTACCACCCCCCCAGACCCAAGGCGGTGGCAACTGCGCTAACGCGCTGACCGCCGCGGCTCGCCTGGGCCTCTCACCCTCCCTGGTCACCAAGGTGCGGCCCCTCTCATCCCCTGCCGTTCTCCCTGTTTTATGTGTGTGTGGGGGGGGGGAGGGGGAGGAAGGATAGAGGGGAGCTAGTAACATGAGATGCTCTGATGCCCAAAGACGCAGTCCAGGTAATGCGCACAGTTTCTTCAATGACAATAAAGTTATTGTCAACGATTTACAATCCGCCTATCCGGTGTTGGCGTCTGATGTCGTGCGTGTACAAAGTCACCCTTTAGCTCAAAGTGAAGCCGCTTATCGCACCGCTCGGGGGACTGTCACTTGCTGCAATCTTAATGCGGTATGGACCACATGGAAGGCGAGGGAAAAGGACGAACCAGCGCCGATGTGAAGCCATGTGAAGCGCTTAGGCTCCAAGGGAACGGAGAACAGCTCTCACCGCCCTGATCTAAAGAACACCGTATTTGCGGTGACGCAGGGTGGGGGTTCGGGGAAGGGGCCGCAGAGGGGCCGCAAAGGGGTACCCCGTAAACAAGTCCTCGGCAAACCTCCACAGATTACATTCCTCTTCACGCCCGTCTCTCTCTCTATGTATAGCTCTAGCTCTTTTCCGCTCTCGTTCTACCCCCTCCCTTGTTCACGGTGTTGTGTTGGCGTGCTTGCCCCCCCTCCACCCCGGGCTCCCGGCCCCCTTCTTCCCGGGTCATCGTAGATTGGCAGTGACGGCCTGGGAGACGGCATCATCAGGTGTGTCTGTCTGTGTGTCTGTCTGTCTGTGTGTCTCTCCGTTTGTCTGTCTGTGTCTGTCAGTTTGTCTGTGTGTCTGTCTGTCTGTGTCTTTCCGTCTGTGTGTCTGTCTGTCTGTCCCACATGTGCCTGTGCTTCTAATGTGAGTGCCGTGCTTTCTAGTCGCCGTAACCGATGTTTTGTTTCCTCTGAGCCGGCACCGGGCTCACCTCTCCCTCATCGTCCATCCATCCGTTCCCCCCTCTCTCTTTCCTTGGCAGCAGCTTCACTCGCTCGTGGTTCGTCTTTTCCCCCCTCTCCCTCTTTCCTCCCCCCACTCCCTCCCTCTTCATGTACAGCGAGCTCCTCCGCGATGGGATTGACACCACCCACGTGCTACGGGCCGAGGGCCACCCTTCGCCCTTCACCTACATCATCGTCGACCGACAAGGTACGGCAGTACGACACTTGCCAGCTGTACGGCAGGCAATGGCGGTACCCATGAGGCATCTTCAGACGTGCTAGCGCTCCGCTGATGCTGCTGGCACGTGCGTGTGTTCTGTGTTTTTCGTCGCGTTGGTCGGTACACAGGTGGAACCCGTACCTGTATCCATACTCCCGGAGCACCCCTGGAGCCGTACGAAATGGACGAGCAGCGCTTGACTGCCGTACTGGAGGGTGCAATGTTGGTGTACTTCGACGGGCGGCTGACGGAGGCAGCTGTTTTGCTGGCACGGGCGGCACGTGCGAGGGGCATTCCGGTGGGTGGCCGCCCAGAGGGGGAACTATTTCCCGATTTGAGGGTTTCCTAACTAGGAAACGGGATTGTCTAGGTTGCCTGATTAGGGTTGGCAAGGTGGCGCGGGATTCCCATTTTCGAAGTGTACGTAGTCTTAGTCAGCTGCCACGGGGTTGTCATATAACAAACAAGGAGATGTTATCGGGTTTATAATACTTTTCTTGGGCGTTACTGGGTTACTTACATGGCTTTTGGATAGCGAGGTGGTGATGGGTAGCTGCATCATCTGGTGCTGTCTGACGAGCCAGCCGGCTAGCTTCATGGTTATGGCACCGCCCCTGGGCCATGGCCATTCGATTGGCCCCCCTCCTGGCTGTCCTTGCTGCCGTCGTGATGGCTATCTGTCCGTCCGTACCTGTACTACACCACCTTACGCCACCCCATCGTTCTGGGCCTTCTGCTGTCCGTATGATACATGTCGCCGTACACATGTCGTACGGTACGTGCAGGTTCTCGTTGAGGCCGAGCGGTTGCGTCCCTCCCTGGAGGCCTTATTGTCTGAGGCGGATTTTGTGGTCACCTCGGCTCATTTCCCCCAGGACTGGACAGGTGTGTATGCGTGTGTGTGTATGTCGTAGCGAGTAGCGAGGTCGGGGATGGTCGGGGAGGGGACTCGGACGGCTGTACGAGAGGCGCACTGAGCGAGGGGCATTGCCGCACGCACACCCACCCACACACACATACGCCCTCGCACGTTTACATTCGTTTCCAATCGTTCGCGTTCTGGGCCCCCACGGCCACCTTCACGGCCACCACCACGGCCACCACCACCTCCACCGCCACCTCCACCACCGCCACCGCTGCACATGTGGAGCCTTCAGGCGAGGTGGGTCTGGCGGACGCCATCCTCGCCACGGCGGAGCGACTGCCCGCCGCCCGCTGGGTCATCACCACGCTGGGCAGCCGGGGGGCGGTGCTGCTGGAGCGGCCGCCGACCCGCAATCGGGAGGGCGGTGACCCGCGGGTCAGTCAGGAGGAGCCACGAGCAGCCACCTTGGACGAGGTGATGGTGGGGGAGCTGGGGCCGCAGCTGGAGGAGGCGGTGAAGAAAAGGAAGGCAGAGAGGGAGGAGAGGCCGGTGTGTGTGAGCGCGTCTGGCGTGGGGATCGGCGCGGGGGCGGTTGTGGCGACGGAGGACTTCGTGCGGCTAACCTACACATCGGCAAGGTGAGTGGGCGGGTGCCCGGCTTTGAACCCTTGTACGACAGGGGCATGTACGACATGCATCGGGTGTTTTATTGCACAAAAATCGCAGATGTGTAGATGGAGGCGCAGGTCGTATAAGAGACCCGACGGCCGAACCGCAGGACGTCTATCTGTCCATCGCTCTGTCCGCATGTCCGTCCGCGCTCTCGCGGCATTGCGCCGCCCACCCGTGCGTCGGTCTGTTTGTCTGTCCGTCCCGCGTAGGGACCCCTCCCAGGCCGCTCGGCAGGCGCTGGCGGCGGCTCACCGCGCGGCAGCTCTCAATGGGGATGCTGGCCAGGCAGACAGGTACCGAGGCTCCGCTGCGCCGGCGGGCAATGGCGGCGTTGGTGGCTGCGATGGCGGTACGACGGCTGTTGCAGCCGCCGCCTCGACACCCGGCTTGGTGTGTCGAGTGACGCTCGCTTCCATTGCGGATTTGCCCAAGGTATGCGTTCTGCTCGATTGCAATTCAGCTGTGGTTCGGATTGTAGCAATTTTGGTGCTGGTGCTGCTGTCGGTGTTGGTGTTGGTGGGGTGTGTGTGCAGAGTGCGAGGGGATGGGGAAGGAGAGGAAGGAGGGGGGAGGTGAAACACATGGTGGCGAGTAGCAGGAGGGACGCTCGAGCTCACGCTTGGTGGAGGAGTGGATCGCTGCTGTGTTTTGTTGCTGTCGTACACCTGCTGTCATACACGTTGCCACGCGATACATCACGGACAGCCCCTTTCACTTCTTTTTCACTCGCCCGCCTCTTCCTCCCCCTGAATGCGCTTTGGTGACACATCACATACATACATACATACATACATACATACATACATACATACATACATACATACATACATACATACATACATACACGCAGGACGCGGTAGTTGACACGACTGGTGCTGGTGACTCGTTCATCGGCAGCGTGCTGTACGGCCTCTGTACTGGGCTGCCGCTACCGTCGACCCTCCGGCTGGCGGCAGTGGTGGCGGCGTGCAAATGTACGGCACTTGGGGCACGTCCCGGCCTGCCCACGAGATCTCAGTTGGTTCCGGAGCTGCTGCATCCTGAGTCCACATCCATACCCGTAATGGCCTAGGCGCGGGCCGGCGCAGGCAGCAGCATGTGTTGCTTGACTTGGCAGCGGAGGACGGATCAGGACAACGAGATGGGAGATTCCTCTGGTTTGTTTGGAAAGCAGCGCATTTTCCGCTTTTGCGGATCGGAGTGGGGCAAGTCTGTCCGTATGTATTTACGCATGTGAGGAGATGCTTCGTGCAGGATGCTCCGTGGAGCGGCGCGGAGAGGAGGAGAGTAAGGGTGGAGGCAGAGTTGTTGTTGTTGTTACATGGTCGTGGGTGCGTTCCCCGTACCTGCAAACCACCCTATTACGAGCCGAGGGCTCAAGGGCTGCCAAATCGCCTATAAGCACCATCCTACCTCGCACTTCCAACGAAACAAGTGATGAAGTATACTAACGACCAAAGGGAATGATAGAGTTACGGTGGGACCATATGCGAGGGCAGAGTTGTGTATGTGAGGGCCTGGGGCCCTCGCGTGCCTTTTTCCCGTGAGCGTTACGACGATAGCCTTACGACGCTGTCGGCGGCAGCACCCGGGGGGGAACCCGAGTGCGGGAGTGCGGGAGGAGGTTTCTGTTGGGAAGGCCACAACGGACACAGCGGCGGAGAGCCGCGGGGAGGAGCACTGCCCTGGATGATGTGGTGGCCCTCCAGGTTTGAGCGACAACACAATACAGAAGACAGCTGTTGGGAGTTGTGGTTGTGGTTGCGCTGTCTTCTGTCTGCGGTTGTGTTGTGTTGTGGGTTGCAAAGGGGCTGCTTGTTACTCGCCAATCGAATCGAACCATCCACGGACGGAAATTTTTTCTATTCCAGGCGATGGACGCAGTGGGCCCCGGTGATGGCCTACGGGCTTGGGCCCAACGGCTTCTTACAAACACAACTTCACATGCGTTGGCCAATATGGATACAGATGATCACGCCTAGTGCCCATGGCCCAAGGTGTACGGCCAGGTTGCCCCCTATCGCCTTTGTTGTATCTCTTTGCTGCGCAAGCGTTTCTTTGCTGGATGCAGCAAAGTGGAGCGGGAGTGTACGGTTACACCAGGACACCGGTCCGCTTCAGACTGCGGCTCAGTTTGCTCAGGTGATACTGTAGCGCGCATTAGATGGCCCGCATGAGGTGAAGGGCTTCGTACAGTGTACGGGGCCGTATTTTAAGGCGTCGGGACAAAACGCAACCTGGATAAGGTGCGGAGTTATTGCCGATTGGCGATATGCGAGCATCGAAGGATGATGCACGCGGCATGAGGGTAGTTGATACCGCAACGGCTCTGAATCTGTCCTTCACCGATTCTCGCTGTAAGCCGGAAATGGACTGGCAGCAGCAGGCCGACAAAGTTAAGTCACGGTTTGCGGAGGTTTGAGCACGGCTGCACTTGTCAGTGTTGGGCCCCTCAACAGCAGCCGCGGCTTTATGGACTGCATCGCATGGCTTGGCATATGGAACATGGTGAAACACCAACAAATGCGGTAATAGATACCTTGGAAAGGAAGGCAGCAAATTCGAAGGAACAGAGACCAACCGTTACTCACCTGTGCCTATTACCCCAGGTCTTCCCCCCCCTGTGGAGGTTCCGGGGCGACCACAATTAGGGAGCATGTTCAAGCCAGATGGGCCGGTTATACGATTGGGACGCCCAATATCCCGAGCCGAAATCTGGCTGATGCAGCCTCCTGCGGGAATACCACAATGTGTTCGGGATGTAGGTAGTGGTCCTCCTAGCGGCAGTCAATCCGATGGAGACGGGGCGTCGGTTCGCCCCGAACCGACAGCACACCGACAGGAAATCGCACATCAGGCCGCCCAAATCATTAACCGGGCCATCCACCGAGTGATCGTTGACTTTTGGGTGAGGTTACGTTCTTTTCTACTGCATTAGGGCGACGACCTAAGAGCGGTTGGAACACAGTTGGACCTATCATCGGCGCTGTCAAAGCGGTTCATGAGCCTCCGGATTCGTCTGAGCCGTACGAGCTCGCTGAAGCTTGTTAACATCCATTTATCCATTCATCCATCCATCCAATTGGACCTTACCACCCCTTCTTACGAGTGTAGAGGACAATTTGCATTGCATGGATGCGCTCACAGATGAAGGTGACCGGAAATTCCAACAATCGGAGGTGATTTTCAGTCACAGCTTGGTAGGATGGTGGTCCCGTGTGTATTCGGCCGCACTTCTTCACATCGAGGCAACCCTAGTACGCCCGTATTTGTAGGCATGAGTTTGCCACTCACAGGGGAGCCATATTGGCAAAATCCCCTTGTTGGCATCAGTGCTAATCCGATCTTGCTTGTAGCCCAGTTTCTTGAGGTGTTGTGCGTGCCGGTACTGAACACTAGTCCGTCCTTGCCAGGCTATGTGTGACTATTACAGCGACAGGCTATGTGCCCTTTGGCTCGGTTTCTTTGCCTTACGGTATACAGTAACTTGGTAGCCCGCTGTAATAAAAAAACAAAGAATCCACGAACACTCCAAACAAACGTCATTGTTAAAACAATACGTGGCGATTGGATGGCTCTGAGGAAAAACTCGCTTATCATATATGTATCGCCCAAGTTTGAATGCGCGGTCCAAAAGTGCAGGAGTAAGGCCGTGGCACGCCTCCACTCGACATCGAGGTCGAGTAAGGTCAGGCCAAGGCAAACACAGGCAAACTCAATTGAGGCATTAGTCATGCAGATATAGCCAAGCGCGCAGTTATGCAGCGGAGTATGTGCGATAGATATGTCTCAGACGAAATCAGAACCCTTCAGCTCGAGGTGGCGATGGGTGGGCGGAGCAAGTCCTGGTCTGTCTGCGGGGCCGGTCTTACCTGGCGCAAGTCTTACCTGGCTGCGGCGGTGAGAGAAATGCTGATTAGGGACCATTACGCAGTGTGAAACAAATTAACCTAATAGCTTGAAGGCTTAAACCAGAGTCATGACCGTTAATTCATGAGAGTGTAAGAGACATTGAAAGACGGTCCCAAACTACATCGCAACAGTCTCCAGAACAAATCTCTCAGTGTTTTTCAATTGCGATGCTGACGAACAGCATCATTTATTGTTGTCGATGCCTGGACATATGTGGATACGAATCTCCTAGCGTCAACGCTATATGATTGAGACACAAATAATATCGCATTATTATCACATCACATTTTGATTGCTAGATTGGGATTGGAAAGGCTTTTAAGGGGACGGCGAATGCCCGCGCGCGCGGAGGTAGGCATCCGGTTTGCTCCCGAATGCGTCGCAACTCCGGATAAAAGTCTTGGATAACAATAAGGCAGTTATATCGTGAGATACTTACAACCTGGCTAGTCGATTTGTGCTGTCACGTATTGGTCTTGCTTAGGAATATGATTGTTTGGCGGGCTGCATAAACCGTACCGCCGCCCTGCTTCTTCGCAGCTGGGCACCCTGCACCTGTCGAGCAAGACATACCCGGGTAACCCGTCAGACTGGCGATGGTGGTTTCGCATGCAGGGCCGCATGCAGGGCCGCAATGTGCATCGCGAGGCCACCCTCTCTGCGTGCCCACCTCCCACCTCCCACCTCCCACTGTGCGCGCAAGGGCTCCCACAGCTTTCCGCATGGATGCAAACTTTGGAACAGCTTCGATGGTGAAGCGGCTCAAGGGCGTGGAGCCTCCTAGTGTAGGGGCCCGTACGCCGTCCTCTTCCCAGTCATACTGCCTGCCTGCCTGCCAGCATGTCTGCCTGGGCCGGTAAAATGTAACCCAAACACCAAATCAATTTGCACATTGCGGGTGCATTTTGAAACTTTGATTACACACACCACTGCGAGCCGATAAGAACCGTTTCGTGATCATCGTCTTGTGAACAGCACGACCCTTGGCCATCTTAAAAGGTTCACCCAGCTCAGGACGTCTCTTGATTTCAGCCCGCAATGCAGAGGTGCTCTAATAGCCATTTTTGGCGACGATGAGTCCAGCGCGGTCAAAGTCGCTGTATAGCGAAAGCCGCTGTCGCGGGAGTTTCAAAATTGAAGCCCTAAATTTCTTGCCTCGCGCTTGTCCTTGATGTCAAATCATCTAGGGGGGCCTCATGCGACTTTATTAAGAAAATACGTTGACATTGCCAAACTTGCTCGGCCAACTACCCGAAGCAAGCCGTACCAAACATCCAACGCGATGAAGCCGACGATGGTGCTTAAACTGATGTAAGTGCATCTTGTGAACAGAAAGTTTCAGCTCGTCCTCGTGCGCTCTCGTTCCCGGGTGCGCTTGTCAGGTAGGGCCCTGCATGTTACAGGCGCGTCCTGGGCTCACTTTTGGTCAGAAAATTAGGCATTAGGGACAACGTGGGATCTCCGCCCCTTTTTAGCTTCAAGGATGCTGACACCCTACTTGTCTGTCAGTGCTCTTCATAGCTAGGTCAACTTTATCCAGTCTTGGATGGCTCGGCCTTTTGGAACATGTAAACGTGTGGGAACTCTCAGATGCCCTTTTGACAGTAAGGGGGAGTTGATCCAGTCCTGGCGTAGAACGCACACAGTCAACAACAGCTATGGGGAGGTCTGCGACGGCACACCCGCATTTCAGAGGTGCCTTCTACAAATTAAATGAACATTTTCGTATATAATTCGTTGGAAGTATTGCAGGCGCGTCATTGGCTCTCAGGTACTCGCAGTTCTTACGCAGTCGTCGGGATTGTTTCAGCTAGAACGATCAAGCATCCACATATCCCACTACATATGTTCATTGTGAAATGTTCGTTGCGTCTGGAACGATTAGTAATCGAGAAGATCCTTCGCTTCGCCCAGGAAGACCGCCGCTCACGGACAACGCCGTACCCTGGGGCGAACTTTGACATTCTTTAATGGCTTTTCAAGCATCTTTTTCATGCTACTGAGAAAGGCCGGTTGTTTGCCTCCTTGCATTCCTGGCGATGAACTCCTGCTAAGGCTCCCCTCGAGTCACCCCGCAACACCAGAGCGGTTGACGCTTTCTAAAACGTGATATGTATGCTTTACGCATACCTACTAGGAAAGTGATGCAAAGGTACCGGATTCACAGGTTTGCGGCGAAGCTGCTCACGGTAACCAGCAGTCTGCAGCCATTTACTAAGGTTTTGGAAGTAACCCTTTCAAGATATTACCATTGAGAAAAATATCAAATTTCATAATGCTGTTATCCAGCCAAAATGGCCGCCACGCGCCCTTGCCCTACTAGAATGCCGTATACAGCAGCTGCTTGTCGCGACAGTTTCTGTCAAACCACCTAGCCAGTACGCCAAACTTACTTTGACAAGTAACGCATCAGGTAGGCCTGCTAAATAATTTATGACTCATCTTGATCCAGCTTGCTAGGTTCGAACAAGCTTAAGCATGGCGCCATACGGAGCACACCTTGTGCTAGCTATGGCGCTGACATCCGCACTTCTTGCTTACTCAAAAAATCAACCGCCAAGTTGCAATACTTGCTATGGTCTGGAACTCGAGCCAGTCTGCACTTCGAGGGGCGTCACTCTTCCATCCCCTTGCTTGGCGATATGCCAAGGCCTAAAAGTCGCCCGCATGGGGCCTTGTGACGGTAAGGATGTTGAAGGCACTTATTGAGGAGCAATGTCGCACAGAGTGGGAGGGCACTAATCCGGACCTGCTACGCTCCAGGGCTCCTGCGTCCGTATAGTTCACCTGTTGCCCGTTCTTGCCGGCTCGATCCCCATTTCTGTTGCCCTTGCGCTGCCCATACCCCTGGTCCCGACCGGTTCACCATCGCCGCATCATGGCCACTGCCAGCTGGCTCCCTACAGATCCAGACGAAGCCGCTCCCCGCCATCACTGCATAAGGGTACCCTACCTAGACGCAATTCCCTGCGTGGAAACCACTTTACCGATTTCTTTTCCTCTGCAACGGCCCTTCGTTGTAACTCCGCGCGATCGCAACCACCAACCACCAACCACCACTGCTCCATTCCGGTACCGTCCGTCACAACAAGATTTGTACAAAGTCCCAATGACTCCCCCGGTTTTTACCTTATTAGCTCAGCCTCGTCCACCGAGCGTGAGCGATTGACAATGGCCCTTTCACCTCATCGGTGCTTGAAAGCCGTATGCGTTTCAGGCCCTGTAACACATCTTTTCTCGTCCTGGTTCCTTGCCATCCCTGGTTCCTCGCCCTTCGTCACCGCGAGTCGCGAGCCAAAAGAATTGGTATGGTAAACAAATAAACGGGCGTGATTGGCGCGCAACTATAAAATAAGCCATTTACCGGTTTCGATCTCCTCCCCCCGGGCTCTTCTTATCCCTCTCGCCGTAGCTTCGGATCCATTAGCAGGCAGCCTCACCCTGGAGTTTAAGGACGGCGGTAGCGGAGGTGATGACTTGGGCCGCGGCCCGCTGCGGAGACGAGCCGCCATGTCCGCGCCAGCGGGCAGTAGCGGCAGTGCGGGCAGCAGCGGCGACGCTGAGGACGATGGCGATGGCAGCGGCAGCAGCGACATGGATGACATCGCCAAGCGGTTTGAAAAAGACGGGTTTGTGTACGCTGGCCAAGCCAAAGTCACGGACGAGGGTCCCAGCGGCCAAGGACAGGCGGGTTTCGTCAGCAGTCTGCCGTAAGTATGCACCGTGCAGGAGTGAAACGGCCGCTGCGTGAGGAGCTAGGACTTGTGGCTAGCAAAACTGGAAAGAGCGTGTTTCAAGGGTATGTGGCCCGCCGCAAACCCTAGCTGTGTGTGGCAGAGCTGCTCCCCTTTGTTTTGCATTCAGCGGTAGGCTCCCTCCGCTTGTGGCTGTCGAAGCTTCTTGCCGCTTGCGCCGGCCCACTGTGCTTTCTATCGTATACACAGGCCCCCCTTGGGGCCTCTGAGGAGGGTCATCTTTTTGAAACCCGCTAATCATAACCGTTTGCACAGGGACCCGAAAGGAGCTGCAGCCGGTGGCAGCAGCAGCAGCAGCGTTGGCAGTAGCAACGGCACCAGCAGCACCGGACAGCCGCCGACCCCGCAGCGGTTATACATCCGCGCGGTGCGGTTTACCACCGACGGTGCTGTTTACCTAGAGTCATCACCGTTCAGTGTGGACCTAACCGCCTTGCCAACGAACGGACAAACGGAAAACCGAATACCTCCCGACGACGCGACCGGCGGCGGCACCGCCGCCGCTCTCAGAGATCCCCGGGTGCTGTTGCAGCAGCACCTGCAGCCGCAGCAGAGAGTACGGAGACCGATTGAGGACGAGGCCGCATCTGACGGTTATAATCCCTTTAGCGGCGATGACAGCGATGGCGTAGACGGTGGTGTTAGTGGGGGTTCCTTGCTAAAGGTGCAGCTGGCGCAGCAGCAGCTGCAGTCGCAGGGGCAGCGGCAGCGGCGGCGGCGGCGGCGGCTGGTTGACGATCGCTACCGAGCTGACGTCCGTATGTGGCCTCACAACGTCATTGGACAGCTGACCTACCGGATGCCGTCAGGTCTTTACGTGTGTTCAGGTGGGGAGCTTGACACTAAATCCGGGCAGGAAAGAAGAGGAAGGTGGAAGGCGGCATTAGGAAAGTGACGGCGTTGGGCCAATATTTGGCTGAAGAAGCTATGGCAATGGCAGTAGTGGTGGTATGGGAGGCGTGTGGCTGTAGTGTCTCACCCCCAACACCACTCTCTGCTACCCTCACGCGGGGTCCTGGGTGATATGAGGGTGATGCGAGTCGCTGCCAGGAATGAAGATCCCCGAATGCAGTGCGTAATAGAATAGGAATGTGTCCGTTTTGAAGTGCATCGGGCTACGGTGATCCGGCCAATCCGGCCGGCTGGCTGCACGCAGTCAGCAGATCTGTGGATAGCGTGTAGCCGATAGATTGGAAACAGCAGTCTTCTACAAACCCTGCATCCAGTTCCTCGCCGAGGTTACAACTGCGGGCGTCTCCGGGCCCTAGCGTGCTCTCCTGCCTTTGCTGCTTGTACACACAACGCTGTTCATGCGGTCTTATGCATGACAGGAACCTGGATATCGCCGTACGACGTTCTCACGGCCGCTCACTGCGTCTTCAATATTGAAAGTAAAGCGGAAGCCAGGAATTTTGTATTTGAGCCCGGAAAGGTGAGTCCGTGCTATTTGAAGGGGAGGTTGGTAATACACAGCTGTACGACAGCAACTGCTGATCTTCATCGTCACGTTTTCATGCAGCTCTGCAGGCATGTGCTTGTACGACATGATGCGAAGGCGCCACGTATGCATGACGTCACGCCCTCAACGCCCATCACCCGGTTCATCAAGACTCCTGCATGCGCACGTCACCGGAACGTATTACCAACTAATTGTATAGCTACCGTTGTACGGCATCGTAATGTACATCATGTCGTGTAATAAGCATGTGCAAAGGCAGAAATCATCCGGTTTGCTTGCAAAATAGCTTTACGTCACTTCAATGCTCGTCTGCTCCTGGTCGCCGCCGAAGTGCAGGGCCGGCTTTCCTTTGTGTTGATGGATACCCAGCGCCAGGCTGCCACCTGCCGCCAATCCCAGCAGCGCGTCTAGCCTCCCCCTCGCCAACCGCACCTCCGTCACTGATCCTGTTCTGTAGTATAGCGTGCAATGTCATTTGGTTCCTAAGTACCTCCGGTTCGATGTATGTCTCCTTGGGTCCGTGCAGATCGGCTACATCGCACCCTTAGGAGCCTTTGACAACACACATGTCACTTTCTACAGAGCAGAGTATCCCAGGTGCGTCACCCGTGCACATATGTATGTTGTATGTGTGTGCATGTTCATGTTTGTCTCCTGAAATCTTGAACGACATTACATGCTTTTCCTAAGCTCGTTGGTTTTTTTCCCGGTGGGTTTCACCACTGAAAAGTTCAGTGGACCATCCCGACCAGTAGATGCACGCGGCTTGACAGGAATTAATAAAATGCATGAGGGCGACATTTCCTGTTCATGCGAAAAGGGGCCGGGGTAAGGAGCGGGGAAAGGAGCCCCGGGGGGAAGTATAGTCAGATGAAGCCCACCACCAGCGCCAGGCAGATACGCAGTTAAAGCCGCACCGGTCTTGCGTGTTTTAACCTAAATTTCTTAAAGGTCGCTGAAGGTTTGCTACTGCTTAAGAGTGCTGCGTTAGGGTCGTTGTGCTGTGTTGGATGCGGATCCGCCGCCGTCACATCTGCCACCGCCGCCAATACCGACACAGCCGGTCGGGGCCGGCAGAAACAGGTTGCGCCGCCAGGGTTGTGTTGCCGTGCTGAAGTGAGGAGTGTGTTGCCGTGCTGTAGAGGTTCTGTTGCGTTGCGGTGAGTCTTTTACAGCCGCATAAGCCGGCATAACCCCAAACACGGTGTGTTCACTCTGGGCCGCTTCCGCCTAACCCATCTGTGCACTTACATACATACAGGGCTGATGACGGCGGCGTCAATTATTTTGACATTGCCCTCATCCGCATGCGGTCATCCACGCCGTATTACATGGGCATCAAGTACTCATGCGCGCAGGTATCATGGCTGTGGTGGATACGTCGCACCCTGGCTAAGTAGCGTCAGCCGGGGCCGTGCTGGGCTTATGTTACAAGGGGTTTACAAGCTCCGCACGAACGTTGGGGACGTCCGTAAAAGCCTGGAGGGGTCACAGGGACGGTCCATTATGGCGTTGAGTGAGTACGTTGACGTCCCATTCCGCTCGCCTGGGCTCGACATGCCTGCGCGCAACGTGCGTATGTGTGCGTTCAAGCGCGTGCAGGATTATTGAAAACCTCCGACCACATGAACCCACCCTCTGAGCTAGGATAAATAAATGAATAAATAAATAGATATATAGATAGATAAATAAATAGGTAAATAAATAAATAAAAATAGAGCAGGAACACCAAGTAAAATAGAGGGGTGTTGCTTGGGGTGTTACTTGGGGTGTTACTAGGATGTTGCGTACTTGCATCCTAGCCCCCTAACGTGGAGCCCCGGACCCCCACTTTCTCCCCCGCCAACAGATCGACTACCCGAGAACACAGACCTGCGGCTACGTGCAAGAGGGAGGAAATTACCAAAAGTGTAAGCTGGTGCATAGTTGGTATATGCATGTAATCGATAGCCGTGCCATGATCAGGGGACGCAAACAGGACAGTGATTGGCTATCTAGAGCTAATGCAATCAATCAATCGCCACACACGGCGGGCAGCGGATAGTCGAGGGCATCCCCGGAACCCGAGCCTTACGGCGCCCCCTCCTGAAACCACCTAGCTACCGCACAATGTCAATGTTGATGCGCCATAGCTGCTGCCTGCCATGTTTGTGTTTAACCTCCTCTGCTACGTCCCTTGCTTGCTACATACCCCTGCTACAAACAGCTGCAGCGCACCCACTGTATTTACCACTGCCTGCTGCTACGATATTACTTGATGTGCGCAGTTTGACACACCGAGCGGTGTACACGTACCATGCCGTACCGTGCCGCAACGTGTGCGTGCGTGCAGGTGACGAGTGCTACTTCACCACCAATGGCTGCTACCCCGGTGTGCAGCCAATCAACTGGTGCTTCACTGCGGCAGGCCAGTCAGGCTCCGCCATCTACGACCTGTTCGACTCCCAGGTTCTGGGCGTCCTCAGCGGCGGATTTCAGGCCGCCGACCTGGCCGACTATTCCTTGTGGACCCCCATAGACGCCCTCCACTTCGCCAGTCTTACCAGATGGATGTGGCCATCAGGAGACGACAGCAGAGTCCAGCTGCCTGCGGCGCCGCCGCCACTGCCGCAGCCCCTCAGGACTGAATGTAAGAGCGGTACTTTGGCGTCTAGGCTTACACTCAGATAGAGATGTGTAGGAATATACAGACAGCGGAAGAGAGCCTGTAGTGAGCAACGAGCACGGCCCCATGTCTGTGTGTGTGTAGGTGTGTAGGTGTGTGTAGGTGTGTGTGTATATCCAGCGGTTGTGTGATTTGGTGTAGTGGATTGGGTTTGGATATTGAGTTAGTTTAAACACACGTATTACGACTGCTTACTCTCTTACATGTGAACCCTGTTGGTGCACTCGGCGCATATCGCCATTGCTGCCACGGCTGCTATGGCTGCCACTGCTGCTGTTGCTAGGACTGTTCCTGCTGGTGCTGTGTTTGGTACGGCTGTAGTGCTCACTGCTGTTGCTTCTGCTCCCGCTACTGCTGCTGCTGCTGCTGCTGCTGCTGCTAGGTTTTGACTGGGAGCAGGGCAGCTTGCGGCTCGTAGACGGGCCCAACGTCGCTGTGGGACGAGCAGGTACGGCAGCATCGTTGGCTATGTTGTGTGTCTCACACTGTCTGGCATTCCCGGGAGTGCACGGGCCATTGGATTATACAGTACACTGATTTCTGAGTGATCCTAGGAAACGTCTTGCTTCCAATTGCGTCAACCTGACTCATTCGCCACCTTGGCTTTGCGTTCGTAGCCGAGCTTCTGTACACATCCGTACGGCCTTGTTGCGTGCCCTTACAGTCACACATGTACATGCACAAACCTTCATCTTTATTTTCCTCTATCTCGCGTTTTAGACCCGTAGTACATACATGCATACATACGTGCATACATACGTGCATACATACGTGCAAACACCTTAAGTGTGTTCCCGACCCTTGCGCTGTGTTTCGGCTTCGGCCTCCGTCTCTCGCAGCCCACAGTGTAATCTAAGTCATACGTGCAAACACCTTAAGATCAGCGCCCAACTTGCTCGCTTGCAATAACGCGTGGATACATTGGTATAATGTATTATTACCTTAAAGGTCTGTCCACCGTACACGCTACCTAGGTTGCGTGCTCAAGCCTGCTTCCCGGTATGTATGTAAACTCTCGTAATAATGATGCCCGCGCCCACCTCCTTACACCGGCGCTTTGACCTCGATCTGCATGCTTCATTGATCGCACCTCCCCCTCACCGCCTGCACTGCCATAACCACCGGCACCACCTACTCGACTTTAAAAGAGGTGTGCTACAACGGCACGTGGGCTCTGGTTTGCAACGGCGCTCCCTTCGCTGCCGCTAACGCCATCGTTATCTGTCGGTGAGTCTAGTACGGCTGCGGGGTGCAGCAATAAAGGGAGCGGCGAACCACTTTCCCTTCCAGATTCCAGCTATGCTTAGGACTCTGGTAAAACCCAAGCCAGCCTAATTAGGAATCAATCGTGCCTCGTGGGATTGGGAGCCACTCTTGTATGTGTTCCTTGAACCCGAAACCCTTCATCCATGCACCTCCTTTGTACATTTCTCACTCTTGCGTTTGGGCGGGCACTTTTTGTTTTTATGTTTTTTGTGCCCTTCAACTATCTCTATCTGCTCTCCCGCATCTGCCGTCCCTTCCCTCAGACAGCTGGGTTATTCGTCTGGAGGAGCCCTTTCGGCTGCTGTCTTTTCCACAAGCGGCGATAGGCAGGCCGGCTCGCTCCAGCCCGTCTGCAATGGTGGCGAGGGCAGGTGCGAGCCCGGGAAACAGAGCCTGGTGGCGGGTGGCGGCAGGTGTAGGCCCCAGCCAGATCACACAAACGTCGTCACCATCCCACCTCCGGCCCACAGCTGCGGCACATATGCCTAGGCTCCGGGCTTGAGACCTAATAAAGACGCGTAACCGTCTAGCTAGAGCTGCAATATGTCTTGCACGCATATGCATGCCAGTCATGTTATTGGGGCTTGCGGACGCACGTCGTCAGTAGACTTGCCCGCTCGCCAGCATGCCCCCCCAATCTACGCTCCGGAACAGATGCCATCCTCTTTCCCAAGGCATCTCATCTCCCTCCTTGCCTTCCTCTCCTCTACCTCCTTGCCGGACCCCACCCTTCCCTCGGGCCGCAACCTCGTCTGTTCACTCGCAAACGCAAGCTTGATGGCTTGCCCGATGCTCGATTGGAGTGCGCGTGGATCTTTCTATCCACAACAGCAGTGCCTAGATGACCCGCTGGGGGTATCTTGTTGGAACAAGGACGATCCCGCAGCAACCGCCATCCTAACCAGCCCGCCGGGCTACTACCAATGTGAGTGCCAAGCATGCAGGTGCATGCAATACATGCTTCTTGCTAGTCTTCAGCGGCTGGATTCACGTGTGATTTGCGTTGGGCCCCCCAACGGCCATGCGCGCGCGCGCGCGTGTGTGTGTGTGTGTGTGTGTGTGTGTGTGTGTGTGTGTGTGTGTGTGTGTGTGTGTGTGTTGGGGGTTTGTTCGGCGGATCAGTACCTGGCTCCCCTGGCCCCGTCGTGAAGCTGGGAGTGGCCGACCGTCGGTCGACATGGGCTGCCCTGCTCAGCTGCCCGACAGACTACACGGCTTGCTGCCTGTCTGCATTCCTGCCTACCTGCCTGCCTGCCTGCCTGCCTTGGCTGGCTGGCTGGCTGGCTGGCTGGCTGGCAGGCTGGCTGGCTGGTTGCTGCGTTAACTGACTGACGGTTGGCTGCACGGCCCCTCAGGCACCTCAGAAGGAGCAGTACGGCTTCGCGACACCGACACGGTGGACTGGGGTCGCGTCGAATACTGCGCCAACGGGGAGTGGGGCAGGTGAGACGGTGGAGGGCTAACGGGGACTTGAGCACGTGAGGCAGCGAGTCGCACGGATCTTGCGGCGTCGCATGTGTACGGTTGCATGCAGCACCGGTAAGAAGGTCTGGGATGTTTTGCCGTGAGCCCGTGCCTTCACTTCGTCATCTGGTTGGCGGTGTATCCGTACCGATCCCGATGAGTAGCAGGCCCCAATTCACGGCCGTGGCGAATAACCAACTAACTCTCTTTATGCAGCATTTGCCATGACGGTTGGGACGACCTTGATGCAACGGTGGTCTGTCGGCAACTCGGATATCCGTACGGTACGGCGCTCAAAGGTCGTCTCGGCGGCGGTCTCAGTCCACCGGGTCCCGAGGGCATGGCTATTTGGCTGCAACAGGTACGTATGAAGATCTTTCGGTTTGTTTGTCTGTCTGTACGGTACGTATCTTAAGGCAGAGAGACGCTGCGTGTGTTTCTTACATGCATGTGAAGCGCGTCACGTCAATATATTTGAAGTTACCAAAAACTGGGGAATTTTTTTCTCCGTTTCATATTTTTCCACCACTCACGCTGCTGTGACACTTGTGCCTGCACCTAGTCCTGTGGCCTGCCTTGCCTTTTATTCGCACCCTCACCGACAGTTACGCAGCTCAGCTCGCATCGACCATTTCTGCATGTTTCTTGTTCTTGCCTATACGGTTGTGTCCTCATGTGCCGTGAGGCAAATTACTTTCCTAAATTCGCCTGGCTGTGCCCCATCCCAGGTCAACTGCAGCGGCTCCGAAAGCGCCCTGGCGGATTGCCCCATCCTCACCCTGCCAGGGACCCCACTGGCCTGCAGCCACCGGGCGGATGCTGGCGTGGCATGCCACGACAGCAAGCCCTCGACGCCGGGGGTGCCGTACTTCTCTGGGCCGATTTGTGGGTAATCGTGATAGCATGCAGTGTACTCGTGTTGTCTACCCTCCCTAGAGGTGGCGGAGGTGGTGCCATGGGAATCCCGCTGAAAACCAACCGCTGAAAACCAACCGCTGAAAACTAACAGGCGTTTGATTCTAAGCGCAACTAAGCCCAATGCAGCATTTGGATTGCATGGGCAGACGGGCGCAGTGGGGTAGTTGGGTAGGTAGGTGGGTAGGTAAGTACGTAGGCAGGTAGGTAGGAGGTAGGTAGTTGGGTAGGTAGGTAGTTGGGTAGGTAGGTAGGTAGGTAGGTAGGTAGGTAGGTAGGTAAGTAGTGTGTAGGTAGGTAGGATTTGACGACCTTCACCCTGCACCGGTCGCCCCAATCCTATACCCCGATGCTTTGGGTTCACCTTAAGTAGCACTGCTGGAATCCAGCGCCGCCTGTCGGGATCGGCCCAACCTGCCCTTCCCTGCGCTTTTGCGTCTGTGCTGCAGGCAATGACCCGGGGGCGTTGCGGATTGTGGGGGTTTCGGACGCGGCCGGTGGTGCCCTGGGCCGCCTTGAAGTATGCTACGCAGCGCAATGGGGCGCAATCTGCGAGTCGGGCTTCGGATACAACGAGGCTGCGGTGTCTTGCAGGCAGCTGGGCTACACCACGGGGCGTGCGGTGCCTGCTGTTTCAATGCCTGGTAGGTGCGTGTGGGATTTGCACAAACGCAGCGACTCGGGGCTGTGCGTACCTCTTACATGTATGTATGTATATATGCTTGAGAGTTTTTACACGTCCGAGGGTTCGTTCATTTGCACGTGCACAGCTGGCATATGGTATGTAGCCATTACAATTGGAGGCGGCTTCAGGGTGAAACTGAGAAGATCAAGTCAGCAAGTCATGCATGGGGTTGCCTGAATTGGACACATGCGATTGGGAAATGTCATGCCCACAAAACCCCAAGTGTGCTTGCGAGATGCGGTCAGGTGCTAGTGTGGGCCACCGCCAGGTGCTAGGGAGGTCAAAATCCGCAGTGAGTGTCACGAGCCGAGCCTGTTCAAAATCTTGAAAGAGGTGCGCGATTACCCATGACTCCCTTCTGCATCATGCCGGCCCCGCTTTTCGCCCGCATGGCTGCCGCAACCCGTCTTTGGCCATACATACATACACGCAGACCAGCCAATTTGGATGAGCCAGGTGCGGTGCGACCTGCCCATGAGTTTGCAGCCGAGATGGCCGCCGCGCTTGACCACCTGCGCCTTCTGGGGAATGGAAGATGCAAGCTGCCCGTACGGCGCTGTGGCGGGTGTGCAGTGCACCAACGGCACGAAATTTGCGCCCTTAGTGCAGCCCTGTAAGTGTTAGGACATCAGGTGCGGTAGCTCTAGCTCTAGCTCTAGCTCTATGTATTGTTTTGTCCCTGATTGCAAGATTAATGTTTGGTTTGCAGATGGCACCAAAGCAAAGCCTCATTGTTTTGTTTTATGCGTTTTTCCTTATAATTCCTGTGAATTGTCACTATTGAAAGGCGTATTTTCGTCCACAGAGTTTTGTCATATAGGCCGGTAAATCGGTGTCGGGAGGCCGCCGGCGTGGTCAGATGTGAAAGAAGGATCCGGTCTACCGCATGTGTCCGTACATCTCTAAGTAGGCTCTGGCTGTGTGGGGTTGCTTCATGAGGCAATGCGTGTTCTGTCCCGCATGGCGGTGCCCATTCATTTGCTTTATGACCTGAGCTAAATTAGGCAACGGGTCCGTGTCCTGAACAGGCTACGAGGAAGAGGCGCTCCGGCTGCGCGGCGGAAAATCAAATAACACAGGGCGGCTTGAGGTCTGCCGAAACGGGAAGTGGGGCACATTCTGCCAGCAAGGCTTCAATGATGCCATCGCAGCCGTGGCATGCAGGTAAAACGCTTTCGCATACACATCCAATAACAAGCGCTGGACGTCTTGTACACAAATACTTGAGTTTGATGACCGACGGCCGAAGCTCCGCCCGCGCCGGCGTTCCCGTGTGAACCATGGATGGCTGCCCAATCCCCAATTTGCATTTCCATTCGGTTCTTTCCTGGTTCCGGAGCTTCTTAATTCTTTTCTCCATTGACTCCCTCAAAAGCATGGCCTACCCTGCCGCCACGTTCGCCTCTCACACCAGCCCGCCCGAATTGGTGATGTTTTGTTGACATCCTGCAAGGAGTTTTTAACGATTTTGGCGATTTGAGCCCTTCTCCCATCCGCACCGGCACCGTCGCTCCTAACCATATGAACGTACGAAGTACTTACTTGTACGCGGCTTAGAAACCCTGATTGAACCCTGCTGGCGCGATTAAAGTGGTTTGCATGCACACTGACGTTACAAATCTCGCTACCGCTTTAGCTTGAAGCAACTGAAGCCGCAGGCTGGACCTTTGATGCCTTTTGCCGAGCCCTGCCAGATGTAACACGCTGCGGACTTTCATAGGACGTCCTAAACCCCCTCCGCCGCTGCCGCCGCCTTGCTGCCTTGCGTCGTGTTTCCCTTTGAGTAAGAAACCCGTGCTCCTCGCACGCCCTCACAGGCAATTGGGCTTCCAAACAGGCAACCTTCTGAAGGTGAGCCAAATGGCCAACATCATTACTCAGGATACCAGGTTGAGAAAGAGGATCAACACAAGCAGACGATGGGGTCCAGGGAGACAGTAACGGAAGGTAGCATCCATGTTTTGGCTGGCATGAGTCCGAGGTTTACCGCCGCTCGTCCCAATTTGTCAGCACCTTAACGGGCCATTGTTTAGGGCCCCCTGGAAATGCAAGTAAAGTAAAGTGAAGTGAAATGAAGCGAAGAGACATCTCGTGTTTCTCGTGTTGGACCTTGTCGTGCGGCAACTCCTTTGCCACCCAGCCCCGCCTCCTTCATGCACCCTGCCGTACTCAAGTCATGTCGTACACTATGCCGTACATGTACTCCTCCTGCAGGGAGGACTCACCCCAGCAGGCGATCCTGACAGCCCGGTGTGGTCTGGCGCGCTGGACTGCTTGGGGTACGAGGACCGCTTGCAGGAGTGTCCCCCGGGGGATGACTCCGCCTTGCCAGGAGACTACTCGGCGGCCTGCGACACACATAGGTGCGTGGTTCCCTGTCCTCTGTCATTGGAGCTATTAGCTCCCAGTGCTGCGGCGTAACGACGGTGAAGTAAGTACTCAAGAGGAGCAAGAATCCCTTTCTGTGTCGCAGCTGCGTTTGTCCGTGCGTGCGTTTCCCCGGTGCTGGTCTGCCCTCGTAGACAGCTTAGGACGAGCTGCCGCTGCCCGATCCCCCGGCCAGCCCGCCTCTATATACCTTACTGCCGCCCAGTATGCCTGCTGCCTGAGTCCCGTGTCCATATGGACTTGTATGCTTTTTCGGTGGTACAGTCACGTGGCGTGACACCCTGCACCCTGATTACGTGTCTGTGGTTCTGCCTGGCTGCGTCTCCTGTTGCTCCCTGCCTCGTCGCCTTGTAGCGATGACGTGGGACTGCAGTGCCGCAACAGCCTCACACAGTATGAAGTCCCGCGGGACACTGCGGTCAGCGGCGCCTTCGCATGTGAGTACATATGTATGTATGTACTGTATGTCTATACATGTATGTTGATATGTATGTATGTACCGTATGTATGACTTAGATTACACTGTGGGCCGCGAGAGCTGGGGGCCGAAGCCGAAACACAGCGCGAGGGTCGGGAGCACACAGCACAAGTCGGTTAGTCTTGTGTGCTCCCGACCCCGACTCAGACTGCCAACACTCTACGCAGCCACTCCGCTGCCCCTCCATCCGGGGATGGCGCTGCAGTGAAAACACCACGAAGGGCTCTCAGGTCCCGCTAGAGCGAGTCCACAAGTCTCAGCTAGGGCAAAGTCAAAGGCTCTCTGAAACAACCCCCCAAAACACCACCAACGAAAACGGGATCCTAAGGGAGGAAAACAAACAAACAAAAATTCGGTTAGGGCAGTCCCGGCAGGGGAGGTCTCCTGATATACCTAACAGGCCAACAAAAACCCCCCAAGAGAGAAAGGCTAAGAGAGCTCGACACCACAAGACGTCTTGCAACCATCTTAAAACAACTGACCTCCACCACCTGTCCCTTCCTGGGCTGGTCCAGGGGAGGAGTAGTCTTATAATGAAAAGGGACCACGCACAAGCCTGATCACCACTGCAGGGGCCCGGGATAGTCCGGCGAAACCACCAAAGCGTTTGTATGTATGTATGTATGCTTCCACATGTACGTGTCGGTGACGTTTTGGACGGCTCGCGTTATGTAGGAGCCCCGCGGGGGGAATTCCAAACAATCGCTTCCTTTCACACTCTTCCCGGAAAGAGAGTCCTCCTCGCTAGCCACGCCACGCCACGCCACGCCACGCCACGCCACGCCACGCCACGCCACGCCACGCCACGCCACGCCACGCCACGCCACGCCACGCCACGCCACGCCACGCCACGCCACGCCACGCCACGCCACGCCACGCCACGCCACGCCACGCCACGCCACGCCACGCCACGTTAAAGCAACGCCACGCCACACCACGCCGCGTTAAAGCAACGCCACGCCACGCCACGCCGCGTTAAAGCAACGCACGACCGCCCTCTCTCGCGCTTCTCCCGCCACAAGCGCAGGCGAGAACCAAGGTCAACTGAGGCTGATGGACGGCATCGGCAGAACGGCGTACCAGAACGGGCTTGTGCAGATCTGTCTGAATGGCCGCTGGGGCACGGTGGGTGTTCAAGAAAAGCGCGCCCCCGAAACACTGGAGTTAGGGTTCCGGATCTTCCGCCGCTTTACCGCCTCGTCCCGCGCCTTCCTCCCTCCACTGCATTATTTAGATGTCACTTGGCCTCATGGCCATGAGTGGCGCACGCGTGAGGTGGTGATGATGACCTCCTTCCATGCCACACTTAACTACGTCGTTTTTAACGTACAATTATTTTAACGTACGTACAACTAATAGACCTGCTTCCATGCCACACTGCATGCTGACGAGTGTACGACGTGACGTCGCCACGTAGGTGTGCAACAGGGGCTTCGGGAAGGAGGAGGCGCGGGTGGCGTGCAGGTGCGTGCGGCGGGTGGCGTGGCGTGGCGTGGAGGGTCACGGAAAGGAGGTCTGCTTCCGCGGGAAGCAGTTGTGCGGCTCCGTGGCGTGCGTTGGCACAGCACTCGAGCGAGGGGTATCATGGCTGTACTCATCCTGTCAGGACATCGCTTACATACATGCCAATAGATGGACACAGATGTCATGATTTGCATGCAAGTTGAATGTATGCATGTATGTATGTATGTTTGTTTGTTTGTATGTGTGTTGCGTAAGAGCTGAAGCATCGGTTTTGTTTAAGTTTTGACTTCTAGGTTCCGGAGCACCCTTGCCCCCAGCAGTTGACGCCCTATGTATGTATGCTGCCCTAGCGCCGCTCGCTTCCCCAGGAATCCATGTTAGGGCGGGTTACACCTTGGAAGGGTAACGTAGCTCAAGGTGTTACACACACACTCTCTCTCTCCGGCCTGTTTTCGTATCACGGACTAGAATCAATACACACACACACCAAATGCTATATAGCCCCACTTCACCCCTCCAGTGAAGCCCTGTGAGCCGATCTCGCGCCCGTAGCCCTGGGTTACTCAGAGCCGCCACTCCGAGCCGCCGGTGCGGCCGCCATGCCGTATACGCTCTCCCCCCTCCCTCCCGCCCGCCTCACCCCTCCCTGAATCCGGATCCAAATCCCCAAAACTCGCTCAGGCATTTTGGCTTCGTGTCGGGAATGGTGACGACGTCAAGCCTGCCCATAAACTACGTAATCCTAGCCTTTTCGCAACCAATTAACATGGCCAACGTAGACTGCACTGGCACAGAGGAACGCCTGACGCAGTGCAAATACGACATGTACGACGGTGCTTGCACGCATCGGTAAGTTGTACCACGTGCGGTACGGGGTCTCATGTGATCGTGACTTAATGGATTACCACCACAGCTGGCTGACTCAATTTTGGGTAGGAGGATGGGCGGGGCTAGTTTCTAGCTAGTTGCGTAGGTTTAGGGTTGCCAATCCAGAGGGATACATATATAGGGGGGATACTTAACGGCGGTGTATATGTATACGCCTGAATTTTTCGGCGCTGCTGCACACCGTCACCTGCTAGGATGTGGGTTAGCTTCGCATCCCAGTGTGTGTCAGCGCCCATAGAGGTCTTGTTCGGAATCTGCTGTGCCTTCATTGTGGTGTCCACTAATCGTTTGTACTGCCCTAACCGCAGCATGGATGTCAGTGTACGGTGTGTCTGGGGGGAGCTACCGCCGTCTTCGCCGCCGCTGACGCTGCGGTGGCCGTCGCCGCCTCCAAAGGCGCCACCACCTTTACCGCGGCCAAGGTCTCCATCCCCACCGGCCGCATTGCTGCGACCCCCGCCTCCTGCGCCTCGGTCATTGTTGATGCATCCACCTGTACCGTCGCCTCCACCTCCAAGACCACGACCATCGCCTCGGCCACCGCCGCAATTTCCACCGTCGCCGCCCATCCCGCAACCGCCGCCTCCTCCACCGCCTCCACCACCTCCACCTCCACTGCCTCCACCCCCACCGCCTCCATTGCCTCCACCGCCTCCACCCCCACCGCCTACATTGCCTCCACCGCCTCCACCCCCACCGCCTCCACTGCCTCCACCCCCTCCACCCCCACTGCCTCCACTGCCTCCACCCCCTCCACCCCCACTGCCTCCACCACCGCCACAGCATGAGGTGCCGTCGCCATCGCTCATTCGGACGCCGGCGCCTTCACTTACGGCCGCCTTGCCGTCCCCGCCACGGCGTTCCCCGCCATCCACAACGCCGCCGCTAGAAGCCGCCTTTGAGGCATGTAAGTCACGCACCATTACATACGCTACACTATACGAACTCGTCCACTTAAGAAAATCACGGCGCAGCGATAATGTTACCATAGATTGGCCGCATGACCGCACACAACGTCCACTACGCATGTAGCGACTATTTCCGGGGACTGGGCTTCTGCAGCACTGTCCTGGAGCGAGATTACTGCAACAGGATGGGATCCTCTTTAAATCGGAAAGGAATTTGTAAGGGCCCACGCCCTCGCATGCGGTGAAAATCGCCGCAGGTGATTATGAGGGCGACATCCGGCTGGCTGGCGGCAACTTGCCAGGAAGCGGCATGCTGCAGTTCTGCGGTGACGACGGTACCGGTTCTTTTAAATGGGGTTCCGTGTGCGGTGCTGCGCCGCTGCGGGAGGATGCGGTGAATATGATCTGCAGGTCTGTGAGGTCGACGAGCTGCGAACTCTTTGTGCTACCTGCGGGGCTTGGGTTGGGTTGGGTTGGCGTCTGGACTTCGTAATCGGGATCAGGTTTTGGGGAAAGAAAAAAAAGGAAATTTAGACTTGGCCACTGAATGGACTGCAAAGTTCAGGAAAGCTGCTAGGAAAGGCTATGCGCCAGCGGTGTGCGTTCGAAATTCGGTCGATTCTATGCAAATCTCCGATAACAGTTGTAATTGTCTTCCTAGGTCCCATGGAATGGAAACGTCGTAAGATGTCTCTTGTGTCATGAATCCAATCTTGAAGCTTCAGGCCGTGGGGATTCCCCCTCTCCATAAAGAGGTGCTTAGTCGAGGAATGGAAGCCCACCATTGGACCCCCAATCCCAAGCCCTACCTTTCCCAGTACCCCAATCCGTTCCTTAACGTCCTTGACTTGACAAACCCCGCCCGCACTCGCACTCGGGTCTGTGCACCCAGGCTGCTGGGCTACAGAGACGGCTTCGCCGTAGTCGATCCCAACAATCCGTCGTACGGGTATGACGGACAGTTCTACACCTTCCAACCGAACCCGTACAACATGCCCACCTGGCTATACGACATTGAGTGCGCCGCTAACCCTAGCGTCATGGGTGATTGCTGGTCAACCAGCCAGTACTGCGCCCCACAGTCGGACATCGGTAAGAGCACTTGCCACTGTAGGTTGGCCAAACTGTAGTAGGGCCTAAAATGAAACGATGTCGTCACATTGAGAAATCGCACAAACCCAGACTCCTCCCTTCCACCATCCCAAAGCCCTTTTGCCGCTTGCCTCTCTCTCCTCCTCGACAGCCGTGATCTGCCTGCGCACCGGGCGAGCCACCAGGCGCTACGGTTGTAAGTTGCTGGGGGGCTTGCTAGTCAGTAGGGTAGGACTGCTTATCTTCGCCGTACTGTGTGTACGGTTGCATGATTACACCGTACACATTTTCCTTTCTCAATAATACGGAAGATCTCAGCGCCTGTATTCTATGCTCCTGCGGTACACATACATACATATAAGGGTTTGGCACTACTGGTATGGCGCATAGGGTTTTAGGGTTTAGGGTTTAGGGTTTAGGGAGATCCCGGGATCGATACCCATTAGGGTCAAAGTCCTTCCGATGGTGGAAGGCATGGGCCCCCTAGTTGATGGACGGTGGTGACCTGGGATAAAGTTAACCTGCGAGCCGACCAGGAACGGAGTTGGGCCGCTGTCGACCCGGCAGATTCCGTTGGATGCTGGTGGTGGGTGCGGAACCTGAGCGATCCACTGTGAAGTTTACTAGGGTGACTGGATAAGGGTGCCCCGAAATACCGGGGAAGGCAGGGTTTCGCAGGGTAGCTGCCACGGGCGAAGATACACCCCCCTGTTTCACACATCATACATATAAACACATATACTCGCTGTTATCGTTGCCGTAAGCATTGCTTTCTTCCAGAAGATTACGCATAGAACGCACCCACCCACCCATACACACACACACACGCGCGCGCACATACACACGTGCAGTCACACACACGTCCACATACAAGCACAGACATACGAAAACAGGCACATGCACACGCACACACGCGCACAGACACACGCGCGCGCACACGCGCTCTGCTCCACCATCGCCGCCAGGTGGCGGCAAACCCGGCGCACTGCGGCTCGTGGGCGGCAGGTCGCCCAACGAAGGCACAGTGCAGGTCTGCAAAAACGTCGTGTGGGGCACCATCTGCGATACGGAGTGGGATGATGTAGACGCCAGTGTCACGTGCAGGTACGCTGTACAGCAATACGGTTTTGACTTGCTTCTACGGTCTTGACTTAAGACCCGCAGACAGTGGCCCTGTGGGTAGCGGCAGTTATCATGTTGGTGATATCTTTGGTGATGGCCATGGCGCTGGTGATTGAGAACTGAGAAGGCTGTGGTGGCCATGGCAGTGATGGCACTGATGTTGACGTACTCCGTCCACCGGTGCGAGGGGTTTTAACCAAATGTGTGCGCGGCTTCTTGATTATCGCTCCTTATGTGTGGCCATATGTGTGAGCAGTGCTACCGGCACAGGATGGTTGTCTGTTCATGTCGCTGTCGCTGTCGCTGTCGCTGTCGCTGTCGCTGTCGCTGTCGCTGTCGCTGTCGCTGTCGCTGTCGCTGTCGCTGTCGCTGTCGCTGTCGCTGTCGCTGTCGCTGTCGCTGTCGCTGTCGCTGTCGCTGTCGCTGTCGCTGTCGCTGTCGCTGTCGCTGTCGCTGTCGCTGTCGCTGTCGCTGTCGCTGTCGCTGTCGCTGTCGCTGTCGCTGTCGCTGTCGCTGTCGCTGTCGCTGTCGCTGTCGCTGTCGCTGTCGCTGTCGCTGTCGCTGTCGCTGTCGCTGTCGCTGTCGCTGTCGCTGTCGCTGTCGCTGTCGCTGTCGCTGTCGCTGTCGCTGTCGCTGTCGCTGTCGCTGTCGCTGTCGCTGTCGCTGTCGCTGTCGCTGTCGCTGTCGCTGTCGCTGTCGCTGTCGCTGTCGCTGTCGCTGTCGCTGTCGCTGTCGCTGTCGCTGTCGCTGTCGCTGTCGCTGTCGCTGTCGCTGTCGCTGTCGCTGTCGCTGTCGCTGTCGCTGTCGCTGTCGCTGTCGCTGTCGCTGTCGCTGTCGCTGTCGCTGTCGCTGTGGCTGTGAGGCCTGAAATAATCAACGGACCCACCACTGCATGCGTGGTGCGGTGTGGTGCAATTGCGTCTGCAGGATGCTCGGCTTTAATTGGGGGGCGGCGGTGAGCGCGGAGGGACGATTCTCCAACGGCACGGCGGCCGGCACAACGTTCCCTCAAGGGCCTAGTGACATGAGGGTGCAGTACGCCAACCTGGCGTGCGACGAAAACTACGCCGAGACGCTCGACGATTGCGAGCGAGCGTCACTTCGCGTTTTTCCGCCAGAGTGCAAGGCCCGGGGTTTCCGGTAAGGGTTGGAGAGTGTGCGAGGATACGCGGTACGATGCTTACCATCCAAACCCGGTGGTAGTTGTTCCAAGCCTCTCCCGTCCCCGTTGCCGCTCAGTATCGATCAGTTACCGTGAAACCATCTAGAGATCACCATGCAGGGTTGGAAAGGACCTGACCCATGGGTCACTTACATATTTCCTTTATGTGTCAGCTAATTTCCTATTACTGCCAAGCGGCCAACATGGACATGCAACACGCGTGGCAACAAAAACCCCAAAACCGTCAACTCGCCAAACGTCTGTCTCGGTCCTAGCTTTACCCCGTCCATCCTCGGCCCCTCGTCATGTGCCATGATGCATCGTTATAATAAAAAAAACCGCCGCGCGCACAGCTTACATATGTACACCTCCTTCCTACTTGCACTGCAGGCGAGACGCTGGTCTGATATGCTGGGACTAACTGAAGTGCCAGGGAACCCCTTTCCGCCCCTCGAAGTCCCTCGAGAATCAAAACCTGACAACAAGAGCAAAAGGTGACGCACAGCTGGGGTTGACCCTGCGCTAGGTTGTTGTCAGTTGTCAGGTAGTTGGCTTGCTTATCTAGGGCGACAGGGCCCGGCCGCACTGGATTGTCTCATAGCCTGGCTCATGGCCTGTGCTGTGCGTACTTTTTCGATCTCACCCTGCCGAGTCAAAAATGCGTTAACAGGAAGAGGGAAACCGCCTTGGGTGTGGAGGCGGCTGGGGTCCCCGCGAAATCCCTTCATGCTCAGCTGGCGGGTCATAGAGCTAGCTGCATGCTTGAGGCCGGCTTGGTGAGGACTTGGCCGAGGACGGGGGGCGTTTCTGTCTGGGGTTCGACATTTCGATGAGGGCCGCCGCTCAAATCTGGCGCCCAGCAGGCCGCATCTGCCACCAAGGTTCTTCCACCTAAGCCACCAAGAATATTAAACAAGGCTAGGAAACCATCGACTGGGGAAAGAGACTGCTGTGTGTTGCCCGGCTACCACGCATGGCTGGACATCTCCCACCGCCAACCCAAACCCTTCGGCGCAGAGCAGTGCTGTTGTTGAGCCGTTTCGTAGTTGGTTTGTTGTAGGCGTATATCCTAATTGTTTTAGTGGCATCAGGACGTCGCTTGTGTGCCGCGCGGGCAGCATTGCCGTGAATACGTGTGATGACAGGAACGTACAGGGCCCCTTGATTGGCTACATGCAGCACCGCCGCCGCGACAGGGCGGACAGGTCGACCCTTCTAGAAATAAATTTCGAGCCACCGGCCACACATACATAGGGCCCCACTAGCTCACATCAGCCATACATCGACCGATGAAGGAGCGGTAGCTGTCCATTAATAGCTGCCCCGGAGTGCATACATATGCTATGCACGACCGACGACGCAAGTGCGGATGGAGACGCAAAAAGGTTTTTCATGCCTGCTGACGCAACTCTTGTGCGAATGAGAAGTTGCTGTTGAGTAAATATGCTCCAGCTGCAGGCAGCTGGGAGCAACGCACGCGTGCGCTACACGTCCTTGAAACGGGTGTCCGCCCATGCCGACGGTTGTGGTTGCCCTGACACAAGGGCGCCAACGAGGCATAATCATTGAACTTGATCAACTACAAAGCGTGTCGTGCAATAACAATATTTGATTTGTTACGTTTGTTGGTGGCGATAGATAATGTGTGAAAGTCGTTGTACGCACACATCTCATCTCGCTGCGGTGACATCTGACTCCAAACATATGCTGAGGCAGCTTTCACTCGGCGGGTGCATTTCTCTATGGGCGAGGCCGCTTACTTTAGAACTTTGTGGCCAGCAGGCAGACGAGGTGCGACCCAAGACGAATAGGCCTTCCCGTCGGCGGCTGTCGGCGTTGGTGATCGGCGTTTGGATTTTGGTGTCATGCATGGAAATGGGTGGGGGGCTGTGGGTGCGTGGCGCTTCATCAGGATGGAGCGCAGGGAGGCAGGATGCCCATGGAGAGAGGGTATTCATAATAATGCATCAATTGGCGCACCAATTTTGTTGTCTTCCCGTTGCCGAAGGTGGTACGGGAGTGTGCTGACGTGGGGCTAGCTGCGAGCGGTAATGGGATGGTAATGGAGTAGATGGGCAAAATTGGCGAAAAAGGGGCAAAGTAGGGGATATAGAATTCATTAAAACACAGCCCATGCGGGGTAACGTCTTGCCGCCGCGACATTATAGAGGTATGTGATCTACGATCCGAACAGAAAGTGTGAAACATAAATTTTACCTGAGACCTTCTGCCAACAACATTATTTTCCGGCTGCGTACGCCGATGGATGATTTTGCGCTCGGGTGTTGCATACACGACCATCTAAGGCCTTATTGTTATGATTAGGGCCTCCAGATAGGGACACTAGAGGGCTTTAGTCTCGGCAGATTGCGGCAATCTCGGCCTGAAAGACCGGGGCGGGATGAATGGCTACAGATAAAGGCGTAAGGCGTGCGGCCGTTTTCGACATGGTTGACATTGTTTACTTTTCTATGCGCCTGTTGTAATTGCTTTCTGTGAAGGAGCATTCATGAAAGTGTCAAGATGTACGGATAATCCTGAAGAGTGAAGCGCGTCGTCGTGCGTCTCCTTGCCGTTGGGGCTGCCGTGGCAGACCAGCTGGAGATGGATTTACGGACGTCTTGTGCGATTTGGCCTTCGCTATGACACCCAGGCCTTATGTCACTTTTATAGTTACTTTTACGATGTGTGCATACCGAGGTTTGTGCATGAGTCACGGATTCTGAAGTCTTGCAACATCTAGCTCGCTTAGCAGGCATGTTTGTTAAAAGCTTTTGGATGCTCTGGGCCCGCAGTGTTAGTGCAGGAACCCACATCAGGAATCGTTGCAGAAGCTGCTCGGAGGGGTGCGAGGCGCTTGTCGGCGCTCCTGGTGTTGGGGAATGAGTAGTGCAGTAGCCCCGTCGTCGGTAGCTGGTATCGTTCGACGTCGTTCGAGTCCATAAATACCCAGTCGGTTTTGCAAATCATCAATCTCCCGGGTCCGGACAAACGTGTATATACGCTCTCAACGAAAAAGACCCGATTCCGCTTGGTCTGCAATGCCTGCATGGATTCCCGCTTACAAGACAGCACAATCGAGACAGCAGCAGTAGTATGAAGTTCTTCCAGCTGCAGGTCGAAGATGTATGGCTCCAGAAATTTTGGGACCGTTAGTACATGGCCATGTCGAACAGCTGAGATCGCCCATCAGTGAAATAATGTAGGTTGAGACTGCTGACTACTGTTGAACGATCACGAGTGCCCCCTATTGAGTCGGTTACTCAAACCCTAGTGTCGAGGCTTGGTTGGAGATGGGGTGTAGGGCCTCCAATCCGATTCCAACATTTATCCGTTAAAATAGCGACTAATATGCAACTTTCACCTTTTTCGATGGCTCGCCGTGTGGCCCATACCCTTTTCATCAAAGAGGCGACGGGTTCTTCTGAGATATTGGATGAAGCTATTCTTCTTTTGCAACGGACATTCCATCGTTTATGGTTTCATTTACGGTGGGAAAATGAACAAAAAGAGATTTGGTGGCGTCTTGCGGTTGATGGGGTGCCTATGTTAGGAAATTCCCATCTTAGGATGTCGCGCCCAACGATGTGTGGTTGTGGAGGTTATCCAATAGGTTCAGTGGGAGGTGTATCCCCTCGCTATCATCATTTCTGGGCCTGTCCGGTGGCACAGGCAATAGCAGATCAAATTACTCTTTCAATAGGATTGCCAGTCTCAAGGGAGCAACTTTGGCTTATCCAAGCCCCACAATCAGTGCAACAATGTGTTTGGGATGTTGTGGCTCTTGCTGCGGTGTCAGCCATGGAGCATGGGAGACGTTATATGGCTGCAAACATGAAAACCAACCCGGCACTGTTACCTGGTCCTTCCCTTACGGAAGAAGCAATTTGTCGAGTTATTGTTGATTTTTGGGGCCGCATTCAGGGTTTCGCAGCTTTAGGAATTCCACGAAAAGGTTGGGAATCCGTTGGCGCACATCACCCCTTTTTGAGGATTATATCTGGCAAATTGATTGTTCGCGAGAGCGTTACCGATGAGAG